ACATTAAAAAAAAAAAAAAATGATCACCCTGGCTCCTGTGCTCAGAATATGTGGAATGAAAGCTTGAAGACCAAATTGAAAGGTATTCCCACTAATCTAGATGAAAAATGATGCTGGCTCCAGTAAGGATGATATAGCAGGAGAGGAGATGAGGTCATATTGCGAATGTGCCTGGAAGCCAAATAGGTTCCTGACATTGTGTGTAAGGTATCAAACGAAGGAAAGATCACAATGACTCCGAGCTTTCTGGCCTGAGCAACTGGAAGGACAAAACTGCCATTGACTGAATAGGGGGCAGGTTTATAGGTGACAACAGGAAGTTAAGTTTGGGACTTGCTGGCTGCAATGTCTGTTACACATTCAAGGGGAGACGTCAAGTGTTGGTGAAAAGGCAGAGCCACTGGAACCTTCGAACACTCCTAGGGGAGTGAAAGTCAGAACCGCCTTGGAGAACCCTTTGTCAGTTACCTACTAAAGCTAAACATGTGTGTCATCTGTGACCCAGCCACTCCACCCCTAGGTGCGTGCCTGATAGCAATTAAAGACGTGAAGGAGAACACTCAAAGCCAGCCGGCATTCCTCAGAATAACCCTAAACTGGACGAAATCCATCCACAGTGGATTCAATGGTGACATATTCACATAATGATGTATTATCCGGCAATGCACATAAGCAAGCTATTGCTATGCATTCACGTGGATGAATCTCCGGTCACAGAATATAATCTTTGCAGAGTATAAAGTCAGACAGAGAGAGAATAAAAAGCCGGTGGCCAATTTATTCAAAAGCAGATGAAACAGGTATTCAAACAAAAAATTGCCCATGAATGTCCACAGCGGCACCACTCGTGACAGCCAAGAGGTGGAAACGACCCAAATGGCCATCAACAGATGAGTGGATGAAGACATGTGGTATATAGTGATATGATAGAGTAGTATTTAGCCATAATAAAGAATTAAATTTCAGTACCTGCTACAACATGGATAACGTTGACAACATTACGCTAAGTAAAATAAGCCAGGTACAGAGGCCATATATTGTGTGGTTTCATTTATAATGAAATATCCAGAACAGGCAGGTCCATAGAAACAAAAGGCAGATGAGTGGTTGCCAGGGGCTGAGAATGGGGGATGGGGCGTGACTGCTAATGGTCATGGGGTTTCCTTTCTGAAGTGACCTAGGTAATGGTGATGGCTGCACAACATTATGAGTGTGCTAAATGCCACTGAATTGCATGCTTTAATGTGGTTAAAATGGGGGGCACTTGGCTGGCTCGGTCAGAAGAGCATGTGACTCTTGATCTCGGGTCATGAGTTCAAGCCCCACACTAGGCATAGAGATTACTTTTAAAAAAATAGCTGGGGCACCTTGGTGGCTCAATCAGTTGAGCGTCTGACTTCAGCCCACCTTCATGATCTCAAGGTTCAGGAGTTCAAGCCCCACATTGGGCTGCTCACTGCTGTTGGCACAGAGCCCACTTCCAGTCCTCTGTCCCCCTCTCTGTCTGCCCCTCCTCCACTTGTGCTCTCTCTCTCTCTCTCTCTCTCTCTCTCAAAAATAAACACCAAAAAAAGTGGTTAAAATGGTAAATGTTATATGTATTTTACCACAATCAACTAAAAAAAGATAAAACTAATGTGTCGTGTTATAATCAGGATAGTGGTTACCTTGGAGTATAGAGAGGGCTGTGTGGGAGGAAGCACAGGATGCCGGGGGGGTGCTGGTAATATACCTTTTTTTAAACCTGTATGGTAGTGACATGAGTGTGTCCATCTTGCAAAGAATCATTGAGCCAAAGAGACAAGTAAAGACAATTCTTTCAAGGAGTTTTGCTGCAAAGTGGGGCCGAGAAAGTGGGCAGGAGCTATAGAGGAAGTAGGACGGAGGGAGGGTTGTTTTCAGATTGGAGAGACAATCATAGTGGGTTTGTTGGGTTTTTTTTAATGTTTGTTTATTTTTGAGAGAGAAAGAGAGAAACAGAGCACAAGGAGGGGAGGGGTAGAGAGAGAGGGAGACACAGAATCCAAAGCAGGCTCCAGGCTCTGAGCTGTCAGCACAGAACCCGACTCAGGGCTCAAACCCATGACTGTGAGATCAAGACCTGAGCCGAAGTCACACACTCAACCGACTGAGCCACCCAGGCGCCCCTGAGACAGTCATGGTTTTTGTGCACACAAGAATAATCTAAGAAGGAAGGGGGAAGCAGACAACGAGGGAAAGGTAGGAGAGAATTGCTTCAAGTGGACCCTGAGTGAGGCGGAGGACCCGGGGTCTTGTGCGGGAGTGGGGGGTCTGCAGTCAGTCCACCCGCAGGAACAAGCGGGAAACTGGTCACATGAGTGTCAGAGCTGGGGAGCAGTGGTTATTGCCCCCAGTTCACCAGTGAGCAGTCTGACAGTCGGGGAGAAGAGCAGACTGCCCACGCTCACATAGCTGGAGCCAGAAGTGGAAACCTGGTCGGCCTGACTGCAGGTGCACCACACCCGGCTGCCCGAGAGCCTCAAGTTCACCTCCCTACCACGCAAAGCAGCATCTTCTATTGTCCACCCTGAAATAGCTTCTCAAACTCTTAGGAGTGGCACCCTAGGTTTCTAAGCATCC